CACACACAAACACACACACACACACACAAACACACAAACACACACACACACACTCTCACACATACACACAACGCTCTCTCTCTCTCTCTCTCTCTCACACACACATACACACACACGCCTTGCGCACACATACACACGCATACTCGTAGACACATACACACCCTGTACATACACACACGCACACATATACACACAAACACACACATACACACACTCGCACACACACAATTCGGCACTTGCATAGTGGTGTCAAAAAGAAACTTTAAAATGTAATCACCCACCCAATCATCGTGTTATAGGCTTGCACTACCCGCTCATGCAGCATACCAATTTATAGCTGAATAAATTCCGCATCATCTGATTCATTAATGTTTCATCTATGTTAAGACACGCTCGAGGTAAACTATCAGGCTTGGCACAATTGTGCGAAATCAGAAAAACGCAAAAGTGTGTTCGCGCGTGTATTGAGGTGCATCAACATTGGTGGAATAGACATGTATTGAATATCAAATAGAATAATTATTATTGTCCCTAAAATAAACAGCATCTTCTGAAGATATTTTCAAACAGACTGGAGAACAGAGTAGTTGCAAATACAACACAAAACCTGGACTTAATATTTTGCTTAGGCCTATAAGTATTAATTTCTGTTATTGTTTAGGAGATAATGGTTCGTACGAAACATTACATTTTTTTTGCTGGTGGATTGTGTTAGTTAGAATTTGGACATAATCATCTGCCAGTTAGACGAACCTGCCATGTTTTTGGGTGGTCTGGGGAGAAATGAACAAAACCACCTTCATGAGAATCACTGGATGGCTTGGTTTAGTGGACTACCTTTGCGCAAGTGCTAGAGCGTCACGTCTTACCCCTACTTTCGTCATGGAGTCATTCAAGTAGACATCTCCATGCATAGCAAAGAAGTTTTTCGCAGGACCAGTGCCAATAGATAATTCTTAGAAACCCAAATCAATAAAATTTGGAGTGGTCACCAGTAAATAGCCCCGATGTGAAACCTACAGATAAGTAGCAAGTGAAATGACTTGAAACAGCAGCTGAAGAAAGGCGAATTAGCTCTCAGTGACATTTTGGGATGAATTGACAGATAATTATGTCCAAAAGTTAATAGAGTCGATGCTCATAGGGTTCTTGCACTACACAAAACTAACAGCTCCTAAGTACAAATAATAAAGAGCACGTTTAATGTTAAGTCCAAGTTTTGGCTAGTATTTGTGATTGCTCTGTTTTCCGTTTCGTTTGAATCTATCGTAAAAAAATAACAAGACAGAATATTGTTTATCGCAATAAGAAGATTCTCCATTCATGAGATATGTAGCGTATGTCCATTGTTTCAATGTTGTTGCTCCTCAATACACCCACGAAGACAATTTTACATTTCTTTGATTCCGCACATTTTTGCCGTTTTCAGAGACCATATCGCAGGCGTCTCTTAACATGCGAGAAGATGGATTATTAAAGTGTCAGAAGATGCTAAATTTATTTAGATTTGAATCGGTATGCTGCATGAGTGGATAGTGTAAGGCTTTAACAAGATGACTGGGTGATTACATTTTCAAGTGTCTTTTAGACGCCACCGTATTGCCTAATATTGTGTTGCGTGTGCTCCAAAACTCATACGAAAACTAAAACACACACTCAAGCACTATCTCATACTTAATGAAACACTCATACACCCACATTTAAGTCTGCAGACATAAATACATATCTCTCTCTGTCTCTCTGTCTCTCTGTCTCTCTCTGTCTCTCTCTGTCTCTCTAGGGGACTCTCGTGGCCTAGAGGTTAAGGTGTTGGCCTCTCATTCAAAGGTCCCGGGTTCGAATCCGGGTAGCGACCGAAAAATTTTGTTCTTTAAATTTGTCTCCTTTCACCTCATTTCCTGCTCTCTAGCAATGTTTTGTCGTCTGCTTTCGTCTCCTCTTTCTGCTCCGACCCCCTCACCTCCTTAGCCCCCTCCTCTGAGCTCCTGATTCTTTCTGCAGCCTTTCTACTGTTACTCCTTCGCTTCTTCTTACTGCTGTCTTTCAGCCACACCCCTGATCTTCTGGTAGGAAAGATCTACACTTAGCCTTCTCGGACAAAGGCGAAAAATC